CTTTGATCGAGCCCCTCTGGATCTTATCGAATTAAAACGAACGGGTAGCCGAGACCATTACGTCGAAGCATAGCCGATACGGGGCCCCCAAGGAGTCGCTGGCTCATCTTTCCAGAGACCGAAGAACTCCATCACGCAGGAGCTTCTTGAGCAGGGCAGGCGACGTGACTGGCAACGAAATTTCCTGCTGGAGGTCATTGATCAGAGTGAAGGGGTCCTTCATCTGCCAGCCTATCCTGCTAAAGACAACTTCATGGCGCCGACGGGGCCGCCGCAAGATCTCCACGTCAGGTCCTTGCCAAACGTATTGCTCCAAGCAGAGCGCAAAACCGCGAAGGACAGCGAGAGAGGCGTGATCTTGCTGGCGGTGATCCACACCTCCTTGCCCCAACGGGCAGCAGGTTCCACTGCCGAAAGCCATGCTGAATCATTTTCCGAAATCATAAGTATTGAAAGCGACCGATTCCCGCCGGCTGCTGCATGGTACGACTCGAGCGACCGACGAATGTGATGAACCTCCCGATCACTGCATCCATGGACTTCGGCCCCATACAATAAGCCAGGCAGCGGCCCAGCTGTAAACAATTGCTTACATCTCTTGCCAAGCTCAGGCTTCAACTTGGTCGGCCGCTTGGCACGACGGTTAAACATCGCAGCTCTCTTCTTGGCCGTGGAGCCCCGGCCCGACGAACGACGAGGTTTCCCTTGAGTGTCGTCGATACCCAAGCTGGCAACCCCCGTGGTAGTAATCCCGGCAAGGCCTCCCAGGACCACGCGAAGCCGAAGGCGACTTCAGGTGAGGATGAGATGAGACACGCCTTGTCAGCCGTGACCCCCGAGTTGCGACCGATCCAGAGCGAACGCTTACAATTAAGCGTGAGGACGCGATGCAGAGCACGAGAGGCAGACGCAAGGTCCCTAACCACTGTCTCGGCGCTCCCGATACAATTGAGCGCACTGTCGTCGATGTAGGCATCTAATGTCACCGATCGTGGCAGCATCAATCTGTCCAGATATATTACAAGGTTTATACACACGAATATGGTTGCGATCGAACACCCTCCGACTACCCCCTTAATAGCCAGCCAAGGACCGTTGACACTGCCGTTCATCAAGATAAATCTAGCGCGCTGGTAGGCGAAGGCGCACAGGCGAGAGACCTGCAAAGAGACTCCAACGCGCCTGCATCTGTCTAGAAGCAGCTCCAGGTCAAACAGTTCGTAGAACTTATGCATATCCCAGATAACGCTGGCAGACACATCCTTGTTAGAAACCGATTCTTCTGACCTTAGAGCTTGCCTCCAAACTGCATCAGAAGAGGACTTGAAGCGCCCGCGAGCGAAAAAAGGCCTCTGCCAGGCCGCCCCCCCCCCCCCCACACTCGTCAGCTAAGCGACGGCGAGCGCGCCCCCAAAGCCTGTAGGTGCCCACGCAGAGGCCGGTGGGCCTGAAGCCTCCAGAGGGCTTAGACAATAAACGCAGGAACAACTCTCAGCTGAATCGGAAGCGCCGACAACATCTCTCAAAGCTGGAACAGCTTCCCCAGGGCCAGAAGTGCGCCGTCGCTAAGCTGAGCGAAGTGCCGCATGTGAAAGCCGTCCACCGAGACGGCCGTGACCCGCGAGCAGCTGCGGCTGAGGTCCCGCAACTCCACTGGCGACAAGAACGGGGGGGGCTCTAGGATGGCCTCGCGAGCAAATCGATCAGGTGGCCGCGCCTCCTGGTACGTAGTGCCCCAGAGATCTGCAAACTTGGGCGCCGCGGCCTTCAGGGGGCTGAGTGGATCCGAGACCAGGGCCCGTTTGCCCCCCTTCTCGATGCCCTCGGGGATTCATTGCCTCCAAGAAGCCATAGACTCCTTCCGAGTGTAAGCGACGGCCCCCGAAATCGACCCTTCGAAATCTTCCAAGAGGTGAGTGAGAGACGGCCTCCAGTCGCCCAGGGAAAGCTCCCCCGCGCGTCCCAGGAATAAAACCGCCTGATCATGAACATAGCACCACCTCCCAAGATGATCCAGGTTAGACTGAGGAGGGCGTCGCATCTGCCCTACAAGAGATTTGACAGCTGGGTGCTCGTCGGGGTCGCCCGCCCCGAGGTGAGCGATCAAAACGCGCAACTGCGCGACAAAGAATTGACGGCCTGCTGCGCCGACGGCGGCGCGGCCCTGGTATCCACGGCGGTCGTACTGCTCGCACCTAGGCCTGCGACCGCGGGTGCCATAAACAGGGATCGGGAGCCTGGGTCGAGTTGACCAGCTCGACCTCGCTGAGATTGGCCCACGCCTCGTAGGCCGAGTCTAGCCCAGAAAATGCTTCCTCAAGCCTCCCAGACTCCGCATGCTCCAATGTGCAATCCAGAAGCTCCAGAGTGTGGGTCCAGTCGGGCGGCTCGATGACGGGGCCCACGGCGGGGTCGATTGGAATCTTTGGAGGCTTGCGGAACCTGCGGGCCCGAAGGGTGCTGAGAGACCTGTGGAACTCCAATCATGCAGGAACGTGCGGGAACGTCGTGGCCTCGCCGACAAGGGCCAGGTCCTTGACACACTTACTCAAGCCTCCAGAAGCCAGGAAGTAATCATAATGCTTGGTGCCCTTGGGGCCAGTCAGAGACCCCCGACCGCCTGGCGCCGCAATGAGCGAACCTCGAAGGCGCTCAGGAATCCCATTCTCCAAGAGGCCCTCCGGGACCATGTTGTAGCCTCCCCCCTAAGACGAACGGCAAGCCCGCGTGGTCCACGAAAGCCATCGCATCAGAGAGGGCAGAAATGTTGGCATCGCTCATCTGCTCGCAATCGTGCAATTAGATGTTGGCGACCAGGAAAGGCGGCTGGCCTAGCCGCTGCGCAACTCCAGCCACGCACTTATGAGGAGAAACCTGAGGGGCGTCCAGGAAGGGGTGAAAACCAACAGCTGCTCGGACAGCAACCGCGACGCCAGCAGAAGCACCACCTTCGCACATCCAGGCTCCCATATGTTCTTCCACCCATGACGGATCCCCCAGGCGCTGGCTTGATTGGTTTCCTCAAAACTGCGAAACTTATGCTCCTGAATGCACGCGATGTGAGCTCTGGTTTGTTCCAGTCGCCCACGCGCCCTCCCCCGCCCCGAACAGTTGAAGGTCTCCAGAATGAGTCCGGACTCATTGCCAGGGACATTGAAGGCAGAGGGGCAAATGGCACTGGGCTGGTTGGAACATGGCGATCCTATGCCCTCAGAAGTATGTGATGCTGCAGCTGGGATGACTTGCGCATGGGCCTCCAGCGGCCGTGTGGGTGGACGCGAAGCCCCCTCCCGATAGGCTGGTAAAGTATAAGGTACGAAACCTGCTCGAGACCGCCTCCAGCATCTCGAGCCTCCTCTTCTCGTCGTCTGCCGACGCCGGGGGGGCGCCAATGATGTTGTAGAGGTCCTCGTCCGACTTGATCGTGGGAGCCCCTGCTGAAGACGCCTTCGAAGCCGAGCCCCGAGACTTGCGCGCCTCCTCCGACTTGGCAAGGTGCTCCTTGCCTGGCTGCAGGGCATTGTGCGCGGCCTGCATCTTGCCCTTGAGGTCCGACAAATTCTGCTGCCCCGCCGCGGAGGCCGCCTCCTTGACGAAGGTGCCCATCGCAGTGGAGATGTCCTTGAACTTTGTGATGTCGACCTCCGCAACCTCAGGTTCCTCGGGTGGGGCAGCTTTGGCTGACAGATCACGATGATCAGCTCGAAGCTGCTCAATCTCAAAGTTAGCCTGCGCTGACTTGGTACGTAACTCCTCTCCACGCTTGCGATGGTGCTCGATGCTCTCAGTGATTTGAATGAGCTCCTTTTCTTTAGATAGCAACTGTTTCTGGACTGCCGAGGCCTGAACACCAGCGTTCTGCTTGTCCATTGCGGCTTGCTTGACCGCTGCAGACGACGCCGGCAAGGCCTGCATAACAGCGTCAGCTCCTGGGATGTATCCCACGCCCTTGAAGTGCTTGGCGAGGGCACCCAGGTAGTCCTGATGATTGCTGGTGCGGGGGGGGGGCGGTACTCGGTGACCGTACCCCTTCCCCCACGACGGCGCTTGCCTCCGCCCTCCCACTGAGATCCATCCCCACCAGCACGAGGACGACCTTTGCCACAGAGACAAGGAAACGGGCTGTAGCACGCCTTGCACCACTGGAACCACGGCTTGCTCTTCTTGCATCCGCTCACCGAGCAGGGCGCGACCGAGGGCGCACCTCCGCCCGCCGTCGCAGCGACTGCAGGGGAAAGAAAGGAATGCTGGTGATGCATACTGCCGCCGCAACAGTACGCAGACTGAGAGGACGCGTATGCACACGCCCGAAAGAAGGATGCAAAACCTCTGGCTGGGCAGCCACCTGTGAGGTCTGCCTATTGGGCGTCTGGTCGCCAGCCTTGCGTGTGGGGAGTTCCCCAAATGTTGCCTTGAGCCAAAATGGCTACGGAGGGCGAGGGGGAGGAGGAGGAGGAGGAGGGGGAGGAGGGGAAAGAGGAGGAGGAGGAGGAGGAGGAGGAGGAGGAGGAGGAGGAGGAGAAAGAGGAGGAGGAGGAGAGGAAGAGGATGATGAGGATGAGGATGAGGATGATGAGGATGATGATCATGATGACCAGGATGATGATGATGATGATGATGATGATGATGATGATGATGATGATGATGATGATGATGATGATGATGATGATGATGATGATGATGATGCCGATGATGATGATGCTGATGGTGATGATCATGATGATGCTGCTGATGCTGCTGCTGATGATGCTGATGATGATGATGCTGATGGTGCTGCTGCTGCTGCTGCTGATGCTGATGATGATGATGATGATGATGATGATGATGATGATGATGATGATGATGATGATGATGATGATGCTGGTTCTGATGCTGATGCTGATGATGCTGATGATGAAGCTGAGGAGGAGGAGGAGGAAGAGGAGGAGGCGAGGAGGAGAAGGAGAGACGACATATGAAGAGGGAGAAGCGGAACGGCGGAACGGCAAGGGCGGGGTGAGGTGCTTCTTCGTCACACCCGTGGACGCGCCCGAACACCGCATCGAGGCCTTCTGGGGGAGAGAGAGAGAGAGAGAGAGAGAGAGAGAGAGAGTGGAAGAGCAGCTTCTCCACATCTTCATTCTGGCACTCGTCGACGTCCTGCTACTTCTGCTCCTCTTATTCTCCCTCTTTTTTCCAGGTGCTTTTTGCCAACCATCGGGGCGACTTCTGCAATTCTGCACTCTCCTATGCGCTACGTGAATATTTCTGCTGCAGAGCACTTGCCGATGTGCATCTCCTATCTTGCCCCATGGCGTCTTCGGTGCACGATGCCCGCAGGGCCGTTCGTCGAATCGTCGAGCTGTCTCAGGCTTTCGAATGTCCGGCCGCAACGCTACTCCCTCTCCAAGATGAAACGAGCCTTGCCCCCTGCAGCCCCCACCACTCGACGCGGAAGCCCAGCGCCGTGCGCATGATGGTGTGCCCACGCTACATTGGCACCTTGCAGAGGGCCAATCCAGGGCGCGATTACGCCGCTCCTCTGGGCCCAGGATGGGGCCCGGCCAGGTGCAGTGGATGTGTGTGTGTGTGTGTGTAAAACTCAGCCCCCCCGGCCGCCGCCGCTGCTGGCTCCCTGGCGCTGTCCCCGCCACACCCCTGGGCTGCTCTGAGCCGGCCTGGGCCGGCGCCTTGTCGTTCTGCGCGGTCCCTCTGCCTAGCCGACTCCGCTGGCGAGCAGACCGCGCAGCGCGCCGAGCTCTTGGCTGCCCTGCAGGCGCTTGTGCTGGCCAGTGGGCCGGTGGAGGTCATCACGGATTCGGAGTACGTGAGCAATGTCGTGGCGGCGTTCTGGGGCGGGGCAACGCCCATGGAATGGTCGCACGCCGACCTCTGGGACAAGCTGGCACCTTACTGCCGGGCCGACTGGCTGAGGGCCCGCTGGGTCAAGGGCCACTTGGACGAGGAGGAGGCGCGGGGGAGGGGGCTCTCCCCGGAGGACCACGCTGGCAACGCGTTGGCCGACAGACTGGCTGGCGCGGCCGCGCGGGCGCGCCTGCCCGCCCCGGCCTTGCTCTGCAGCAGCGCGAGCGGCAGCTGCAGGCGCGGGAGGGCGTCCAGCGAGCTCTGGCGGCGGTGGAGCTGGCGGCCTTCAAGGCCAACCACGACTGCACCGCGCCAGGCGGGCCCCAGGTGCGGCGCCGATGGGCAGCCGTCCGGCGCACCGCATGCCAGCGACGCCCAGCGGTTGCCGGCGGCGGGCTGCCACTGCAGGCGCCACCAGCAGCGCCGCAGGCTCCGCAGCTCCTGCGGCATCCACCGCGGCAGCCCGCGGCGGCGGCCGCCCAGGCGCTCTTCGGCGGGCGATCCTGGAGGGCCCACGCCGCCTCGCAAGGGCCAGGCTGGGTAGCCTGCCTGCAGTGCGGCTGCGCGGCGCCCGGGTGGGGGGCCCTGGCTGCTCGTCCATGCGCAGGCTGGGCGCCCGCCTTGCCGCCGCGCGTGGGCGCGCTGCTCCTGCTGCCGCCGGCGCGGGCCGGGGGCGGCGAGGGCGCTTGGCGGGAGGCGTTGCGCGCCCGTTTGGCCGCGCGTGCGGGCGCGTGTGAGGCGCCGAGCTAATTCGGTGCAGCGGCTGCCCCCCCTCCTCCCTCCCTCTCCCTTCCTGCCTGCTTCTTCGTCACAGGGCCCCCTTTGCGCTTGTAATAAAAAGTGTAGAGCTCGTCGCCCTGCGCTGGAACCTGGTGGCCGCAACCGCCGAAGATGCCGGCCGTAAGCAATCGGCCCGGATGAGTAGGCCGACCCTGCCAAAATCCAGGGTACCCTCGTGTCTTGCGTCTGCCGACCCATGCCTGCTACAACCCTGTGGCAACGTGGCCCTCGGAAGGGCCTTGTGTTAAATCGGGCCTGTCCCTCTACAGGATGAATATTCAAGAATAGTTAAAACATAGTAGGGGGACGGTTTTTGGACAATTTATGACTCTTTCGGAATATAGTTTGACTACTTTTTAGTTTTCGTCCAAAATCGGCCTGTATGGGGACAGGCCCGACCTGAGCCTTGTGTCCTTTCGCGAGTCCTCTCCAAGCAAGTCCGACTGGACGCCATCCAGCAGCGGCCCAGTTCCAACGGCGGCAGAGGCCGGAGTTGGGCAACCAGCGGCAGTGCATGGCTTTACTCCGGGGCAAGGGGGGGTAGGCTCAGGGTGGAGCGCATCGACCCCCAATCACCAATGTTTTTCCCAGAGTATTCGGGCGCTTTCGCTGGTTCCTGGAATTTTTCCCTCCTCGAGATGCTCTCCAGCAGCTCTGTCTCGTCGAGAGCGTTCTGGGGGAATGGCTGCTGGAGGCCCGAGTTATGACCCGAAGACCAAACGGCGAGGATCGGGGACAGGCTCGGGGGGGAATGCGTCGCCCCTCTATCGCCCATCCATCGCTGGGGGGGGTCTGGTAGCACACCCCTCCCAGGAACGTTCGGCTCCGCTACCGGGGGCCTGTCGCCGATCTGTCGGCGATCCATCGCCGATTCCGGCTCGATGTTTTCCTCTTTGGGCAGGCCCCCTTGTTGTTCCCCTTCAGGGCAGTGCTTTACGGCGCAAGCAAGAACTGCTGAGTGCAGGCGCTGCTTGGTGAACCATCAACGTCGTCATGGAGGAGATCGCTACCGACGGTCTTCCTGACACCCAGACCACCGCGCTGACGTCCGAACCGACGCCCTCCCCGACAGACTTGGTTCCGCCGCCAAGAGAGACGCTGGAACCCAATCTCCAGCGCCCTGTTCCCAAGAAGCCCTCGACGTCCTGACCGACGCCCAGGCGGGAATGTCACCCAACGCCGCGACCCATACGCTTCCGAAGAGATCCACCTCGCCCTTCTGACCGAGACCTTGCATATTCCAGGTACGTTTAAATCTGGCCTGTCCCCCTACAATTGTTGTCGTTGTTGTTGTTGTTGTTGTTGTTGTTGTTGTTGTTGTTGTTGTTGTTGTTGTGGTTGTTGTTGTTGTTGTTGTTGTTGTTGTTGTTGTTGTTGTTGTTGTTGTTGTTGTTGTTGTTGTTGTTGTTGTTCTTGTTCTTGTTCTTGTTCTTGTTGTTGTTGTTGTTGTTGTTGTTGTTGTTGTTGTTGTTGTTGTTGTTGTGGTTGTTGTTGTTGTTGTTGTTGTTGTTGTTGTTGTTGTTGTTGTTGTTGTTGTTGTTGTTGCTGTTAGCTCTTTATTTTTCGTTAAACAGCCCCCTGTAGGGGGACATGCCCGACCTGAAGGGGCGTCGAGGCATCCCGCCCCTGGAGCTGGCCCCTCCCCCTGAGCCGGTGCCCCCCCCCCCCCCCCCTTGACCCCGTTCCCCCCCGGGCTGGTCCCCCTGGGCCAGTCCCCCCCTCAGGGCCCGCTCCCCCCCCTCGGTGGTTCAAAGGTGGGGTCCTGAGGTCAAGCAGCGGCGAAGCGTCCTGGCGTACCTGTAGGCCAAACAATGTTCTAAGAACTTGTTGTGGTTTCCGCGACATGTTCTTGGAACAGTTCCGGCTGGGGCCGTCTTGTTTTAACACATCGGGCTCATGTTCTAAGAACATTGTTTATGTTCTTAGAACAGTTTTGGATTCTAAGAACATGTCGTGGTAGGCCTATAGGATTACGGGGACGGTCGGTCCCTGCTCAATGAGGGACGGGGTCCTAAAGATAGGAAGGGATCCAGGGGTGGATTTACACTGTTTGAGGCACCTCGTCCTGAGGACCCCATCCCTCAGGACCCCATCTTTGAACCGCCGACCCCCGTCGTTCGTGCGGAGCGCGCTGGGGGCGGCGCCAGAGGCGCCGCCAGGTGGGTCCAGCGCCGGTCCGAGTGTCCGCGCAGAACTCGGACAGTTTACGTTTACACAGGTTTCTCGTCCTCTGATCGTTGGTCCCTCAGAGGTGGACGCCGATCCGAGAAATCCGCGTTGAGCTCCCAAGGTTTACGTTTGTGCAGGTTTTCTTCTTCCTCTGATCGTTGGCCCTCGGACGTGGGTGGCCGTGGCGCATGTGGGCGGGCGTGGCGCAAGGCAGGGACGCGTGGTTTTCCCACCGCAAAGGTTGGATCACATTCGTTTAAGGCAGCGGGCGCAAGCGAGCCGAAGCAGGTGTAGATGCCAGTCGGGCAACGGGCGGGACGCGCCAGAAGCGAATTGAGGCACCGCAGAACGCGGGGAGAGCGGAGGGGATGAGACGACAGAGCCGCTCAGATCGTGCAGACCGTCGCGTTCGTGCCGACGAAGTGCAGGAGGGCGCCGGAACGCGGCTGCGTATAGAGCAGCGGGTGGTGGTTGGAGTTCTGTGACGAGTCCCCAGTCCTTAGTTTTCTTCAGTGATTGTGATGCTGGCGGTCTGAGGGCCATCCTCTCATACTCTAGGCCTCCAGATGGGGTCGGAGGACAGTGCCATATCGCCGACGCATCGCCGAAACGGCTTGATGCGGAACCCCATTTCCTCCACGCCGACGTCGCCAACGCATCGCCGTCGTCGCCGATGCATCGCCGATGCATCGGCGGTGCATCGGCGACGACGGCGCGATCCTCCGACCCCATCTTCCCCGACCCCACTTTGGAGGTTTCTACAGACACCACTTCAAGTCAGTTCCTCCTCCTGCTCCTCCTTCTCGTCCTCCTCCTCCTCCTCGTCCCCCTCCTCCTCCTCCTCCTCCTCCTCCTCCTCCTCCTCCTCCTCCTCCTCCTCCCCTTGGAGGTGGACGGGGACGACGCCCTGCTCCTGGGCCCGCTGGGCCGCTTCGTCGACAGCAGGGCCGCCGCCGAGGCGCCCGAGCACTGGCGCGCGTTCGCCAGGGCGCACCAGGCGCGGGTCCAGGGCGGGGTGGGGGCGCGCGGGAGGGGGAGGAGGAACCATGAGGAGCAGAAGGAGGAAGCATGAGGAGCAGGGGGAGGAACCATGAGGAGGAGGAGGAGGAGGAGGAGGAACCATGAGGATGAAGAGGAGCAGGAGGAGGAGGAGGAGGAGGAGTGGAGGAGGAGGAGGAGGAGGAGGAGGAGGAAGCATGAGGAGGAGAATGAGGAACCGTAAGAGCAGAGGAGAGCATGAGGAGGAGGAGGAGGAGGAGGAGGAGGAGGAGGAGGAGGAGGAGGAGGGGAGAAGGAGGAGACGAGGAGGAGGAGGAGGAGGAGGAGGGAGAGGAGGAGGAGGAGGAGGAGCGGAGGAGGCGGAGGCGGAGGCGCGGAGGCGGAGGCGGAGGCGGAGGCGGAGGAGGAGGAGGAGGAGGAGGAGGAGGAGGAGGAGGGAGGAGGAGGAGGAGGAGGAGGAGGACGAGGAGGAGGAGAGGAGGAGGAGGAGGAGGAGGAGGAGGAGGAGGAGGAGGAGGAGGAGGAGGAGGAGGAGGAGGGGGGAGGGGGAGGGGGAGCAGAGGAGAGGAGGAGGAGGGGAGGAGGAGGAGGGGACGAGGAGGAGGAGGAGGAGGAGGAGGAGGAGGAGGAGGAGGAGGAAGGCGGAGAGAGGAGGAGGAGGGAGGAGGAGGAGGAGGAGGAGGGGAGGAGGAGGAGGCGGAGGCGGAGGCGGAGGAGGCGGAGGAGGAGGAGGAGGAGGAGGAGGAGGAGGAGGAGAGGAGGAGCGGAGGAGGAGGAGGAGAGAGGAGGCGGAGGAGGAGGAGGAGGAGGAGGAGGAGGAGGAGGAGGCGGAGGCGGAGCGGAGGCGGAGGCGGAGGCGGAGGCGGAGGCGGAGGCGGAGGCGGAGGCGGAGGCGGAGCGGAGGCGGAGGAGGAGGAGGCGAGGAGGAGGAGGAGGAGGAGGAGGAGGAGGAGAGGAGGAGGAGGAGGAGGAGGGAGGAGGAGGGAGAGGAGGAGGAGGAGGAAGAGGGAGAGGAGGAGGAGGAAGATGAGGAGGAGGAGGAGGGGGGAGGAGGAGGCCTAGTTGGATGAGGAGGATGAGGATGAGGAGGATGAGGATGAGGATGAGGATGAGGAGGAGGAGGCGGAGGAGGAGGAGGAGGAGGAGGATGAGGAGGAGGAGGAGGAGGAGGGGGAGGCGGCCAGGTGGCGTCCAGAGCTGTAACAGGAAGAAGGGTATGCCCGCTAACTTTGCGAACGGGGCCCCAGTTCGCATGATTGCCCAGTTCGCATGATTGGGCCTGCTTTGGCCCCCAAGTGGCGCGGTGCCATTCCGCCACCTGCTCCTCTCACCCCCTTGGTTGCCCTCCCTGCTCCTGCCTGGTCGCCTCCCCCGCTTGTCATCCCTGCCAAGCCCCGTTGCAGCTCTCGCCTGGTTATTGTGCTGTGCTCCGAGGGAGAGTGTTTGTGTAACCTCATGGAGCGCTGGCAAGCCCACGCAGCCGCGACGAATCTCTCCATCTATTTGGCCCTTGTTGTGACGGAACCCCTCACGTGGGACAATCAGCTCGCGCAGCTGAACCAAGGCTGCAAGAGGGGTACGATTGCGGGTTTCCTCTTAACCCCCTCGTTGCGCACGATGTGGCCCGCTCACAAGACTGGCAACAAGTGCATGACTAGGTCCCCCGACCACCCTCTCGGCAACCCCTCGCTCGGAGCGGCCGCCGCCGACCACGTCCGCTTGGACAACGCTGCGCTGCTCCTGGTAGGGGGGTTGCTGCACGTTGCTTGGAAGTTGGGGACCCCCCCCTCTGTCGTGCCACCCCCCACCCTCCTTTGCGGGGCACGTTTCAGGGTGGGCCTCTCGGGTCATTGCTCCTTTGACGCTGTGCTCAGGAGTATCTGTTGAACAGGTTGATGGGGCTTCCTTGGCCCCAGGCGTCCCGAGGATTCGCTTTATGGGAGTGCACGTCCATGGGCTGCGTCAGCGACTGGAGCACACTGGCGACGTTGATGTGAGGGGTGGGCTTGGGCCCTGCTGCACCGCTCCCCTGTTGACCCCCCCTCTCAATGCCGTGGTCGTGTCCGCCATCGTCGCTGCCATTCTTGTCATGGATCTGCAGGCTCCCACCGCCATGGTTTCCGACAGCAGTCCCACTACGGACGGTACTGCCTTCTTTGCCGCTGCTCCATGGGACAGTTTGTCCTGCCTGCTTGTTGCAGGAGGCGGAGCCCACGGGGACTGGCGGATCGACTGGCTCGCTAATCCTGTCCTAGCTTGCAGTCTGCGCCCCTTCCACCTTGCTGCACTGCCCGCCCCCTTTTAGTATGGGTATCGACTTCTTTGCACCCTTATTGACCGACCGACCGACCGAGGGGGAGGCGGAGGAGCAGGAGGCGGAGGAGGAGGAAGAGGAGGGGAGGAGGAGGAGGAGGAGGCGGAGGAGGAGGAGGAGGCGGAGGAGGAGGGAGGAGGAGCAGGAGGAGCAGGATGGGGAGGAGGAGGTGGATGCCCCCCTCTAGTGCGTGCGTCTGCGTGGGTAGCGCCGTGGGTGCTTCTCGTGGCAGGCTTCTCGGCAGCGTCTGCGGGTCATTGTTGGAGCTTCTTGGAACCGTTTTGGAGCCCCTGAGGGCATATTTTGGGTCCCCCGTTGGCTGTTTGGTGGCGCGGCGGGCCCCCTAGCAGAAAGTAAACGGAAGGAAGGACATATGACTTGAGAGACAAAAGGACAAGCAACACATGACAACACACAACACATGTCAGCAGACCGCACACACCTTCGCAGCCTTGCGCCCCCAGACGGGGCCGGTGGACATCTTGACACACGTATATATCGATATGTATATAGTTGGGTATATGTATACATCTATGTATACATGTAGTTAATATAGTTGCATATGCATATAGTTAGCTATGCACATCTATGCATGTAAGCATACATGTCGATACATACACATATATATATATACATAGACTAGGCATACATATATATATATATATATATACACGTGTATCTGTATATGCATATGTATATATACATCTATATATACATGTGTGTATAGATATATATATATATACAGCTATCATGTGGGCGAGCAGGGCCCCAGGGGTCGTCCCCCACAGGGGTGTGGGCGAGCAGGGCCCCAGGGGTCGTCCCCCCCCCAGGGTTTCAAACGTACACTTCGGCCGGGGGGGGGCCTCACCCTGGCGTCCAGGCGGCCTTTCCAGATCCCGAGGCGGCCCGCTGAGACCCAAGATGAGCCAAGACGTTCTCCGTAACGCCCAAGCCAAGAGGCCTCCAAGACGCCCCAAGATGCCAACAGAGCAGTCCCAAGAGGAACCACGGAAGTGAAAATCATTGATTTCCCTGAGGTTTTTGCATGATTCTTGGTGCTATCGCCTTTTCGGCTCCGCGACGCTCAAAGACAGCCCAAGAGGCCCCCAAGATCGGTCCAAGACGGTCCAAGAGAGCTCCCAAACGGCCCAAGAGGGCTCCAAGACGGCCCAACAGGCCCCCAAGACGGCCCAAGAGGCCCCCAAGACGGCTCCGAGAGGGGGCCCAGACGGGGGACCCGACTGGACATTTCGACCCATCGGTTCCAAGAGGCTCCCAGGATGCCCCAGGAAGCCCCATAGAGGCCACCAAGAGGCCCCCCAGAGGCACCCCAGAGGCCCCAAGATGCCCCCAAGAGGCTACCAGGAGGCTCCCACTTCAGGGCATCCTGGGCGATCTGGCAGCCTTCCTGGACCAGTTTTTGGGCAACTTGAAAATAGGAGAAGACTTAGCACTTTCCTTGCTTTATCAAGTTGCCCCCGGACCCATCCCGCCTCCGAGCCTGGGTCGTGGGTTTGGATGCTTCATGCATGCATGTATGGATCTCTTGCGGTGCCTCTTGGAAGCTTTCTGAAAACAGTTCTGAGCCCTCTTGGGGCTTCTGGCGGGACTCTTGGGGCCTTCTTTAAGCATCTTTCGAGCATCCTGGCCCCTCTTGGGAACCTCTTGGGAGCCTCAGGTCCGACGCCGTAGGCCTGCCGCCGCCTCCTCCTCCTCGTCCTCCTGGTTTTTGGCCCCCGGAGGCCGCGGGACCTTCGAAAGTCATCCCCGAGGGGGCACTCGAGGTTGAAGCCGTGGTGTCCTGGGCGCCATCCCGGCCGCGAGACGCGGTCAATGGGGGAGTGTCCGGGGCAGGCGCTCGAGGTTGAAACCGTGGTGTCGTGGTGAGTTTTCCTTCCACCGCATCCTGCTTCTATTGTGCTTCTCGTTGTAGTCATCGGTGGGAGAGTAGCTGTTCGAAGGGGCCAGGTGTGGATGAAGAGAAAAGAAAAACAGAGGAAGAGGAGGAGGAGGCGAAGGAGGAGGAGGTAGGAGGAGGAGGGGGGCCAACACCACATTCCACACCCAAAGCCCAAGCTTGCCCAGAACCTGAACTCTAACATGTGCATTTAACCTCCAAGGTTCAGCCCAAACTCACACTCCCTTCCCAAAAGCCGAACACTGGATCCGTAACACTTCATAGCCATCAACTTTGGCCCTACTCGAACCCGTCATCCTGCCTGAAACAGCGCTCGTAATTCGGAGTCGAAACACCAATCCCGGCTTTTCCTAAAACATCCGGAATCGAAATCTTTAGCTTAGACTGTCACGCCAGCTTTTCTTGCTGTCTGCAAAGAACGAACCCTAACCCTAACAAGCACCCGACTACTACCATAGATCGCGCCGTTCGATGCGGCGTCGATGGCCTCGAAGTCAGAATGTGTCCACTGTGTGGTGCTGAATTTTGCTTGGCGTGCGATATGCGACAGTCTGAGCTAGAACCTGAGCGCGCGCGAAGCGCGCGCGACGGTTCTAGTATGTATGTATGTGTGTATGTATGTATGTATGTATGTATGTATGTATGTATATATATATATATCATCACATACAAGCCGAATGGGAAGAGGACGTAGTGGCACCAGATGGATCGGCCGAGTCCGCAGACTGCCTGGCGCCGATGCCACCAGCGTTCGAGGGACACCTGGTGCCCGAGGAGAAGGTGTAGGTGGACGTGAGCGTGAACCTCGGCACCGCCGTTGCCGGAACGTCGGATCATGTGCAGGAAGATTATGATTTATGGTCGCGTCGGTGTCGAAGGGCACTCCACGTCTACGTGGGCACAGGCGGGGGGCCGACCACGCTGGTGTGCAGCACCAGCATGGATCTCGTAGTGCACTGCGGCGAGTGGCGCTGCACCCCGCCGCGGGCCAGAGTACCTGCGAATGAGACACGAGCGACTCGTCCCAGGCACTACGAGCCCAAAGGAACCGAAGCGATGATAATGATGGTGGTGATGGTGGTGATGATGGTGGTGATGCCGGCGATGCTGATGTTGATAACGGTGGTGATATCGCTGGTGGTCAATGATCATGGTGCTGGTATTGATGGCGATGATGCTGAAACGATGGGGATTCTGATACTTCCGATGATGATGTTGACGATGGTGGCGGTGGTGATGGGGATGACTGTGATGACGATCTGTTGATGATGACGATGATGATGGTGATGCCGATAACGATGACGATGGCGCCGGCGGTTGCAACGACGACGATGCTGCTTTTGATGATGGGTTTGATGCGATAACGGGAATGACGATGACGATGACGATGACGATGGTGACGATGTTACTGCTGCTGCTGCTGTGGATGATGATGATGAAAATGATGATGGTGACGGTGATTATGCGGATGACGATGATGATGCTGATGTTGATGACGATGCTGGTGATGGTGATGATTGTGATGTTGATCACTATCGGGGATGCCGATATTTTGAGACAAGTGGAATCAACGTTGCTTTTCTGGCGCAGTGCCGTTTGCATACCTTCTCGTCCTGCTCCTCCTCTCGTCAGGTCCACCGCTTGGCGAGCGGGCTTCCCCGGCTGGACTCGCAGGAGCACCGGACGGCGGAGTGGCGGCGGCAGCACCCGTGGCTCACGCACGTGGAGGACTGGCGGGTCGGGGGGCGAGGGTCGAGTGTGTGTGTGTGTGTGTGGTGGGATCCAGGTAAACTCGCGTCGTGCAGAAACAGCGACGGACCACGCGGGCACGGAGGGGAAAACGGGAACGGCCCCGCCAGGGCCCTTCGAGGATGAGTTCGCATAGTGGTTTTAGGCATTTCGCGTGTGAGATCTGCCAGCGGTTCGGCGGCTCGAGTTGTGTGGACATGGTCAGCGCTCCCCTCTCCCCCTGCTGCTGCTGCTGCTGCTGCTGCTGCTGCTGCTGCTGCTGCTGCTGCTGCTGCCCCTTTCCCCCCCGCCCTCCTCACACGACAGCGGTGTTTGGGGAACTCGTTAAGACAGGAATCGTCATCAATATTTCCAACAAAACCAACTTCTTGGGGCGAGTCAGCTCTGAAGCCATCGGTCGTTATTACGAGGTCAGCAGCTTCAACAAACATCGGCCACTGGGGGCCCCCACCGGCTCCAGGGACCGCTAATGAACCACTCCGCATGCAAAGCCGGTCCCCAAAGGGGGGGTTCCACGTCGTGAAAAGATCATGACGTCGGGGCTCTGGTCGATGGGGGAGGGAGGCGGGGCGCAGGGCCACGGTGGCCACGTCGAGGGGGACCGCTCGTCGGGATCCGAGGGGCGGGGGTGGAGATGGGGGGTGGGAGGGGGGGTGGGACGGGCACCGCACGGGAAGGGGAGGGTGGGGGGCGGGGGGGGGGAGGAGATGAGCAACGAAGGGTGGAGGGCGGGGGGGGGATGAGAGGAGGAAGGGGGCCAGGCGCCACCCGTCTGTTTTGCGGGGCGGTGCTCTTTCCGCCCTCCGCCGGGCCCCTGACGGGCGCGGTGCCATGTTGGCGTGCGCGCGGGGCTCGACGGGAAGGAGGGTTTGGAGGTCGAGGACGACCACCCCCAAGGGGGTGGTCGTCCTCGATTTCCAAAGAGGTTCGGGAGCGGGAGGCGGCGGCCAGAGCTGGGGCATTCTGCGTCGATCAGTTGTCCTCAGGGACTGCTGAGGAAAAATGATGATCAGCAGGAGGAGAGAGAAGACTTGTTATCCTCGACCTCCAAGGGGTGGTCATCCTCGACCTCCACGACCTCCAGGAGGAGGTCGGGGATGATCACCCTGGTGCGATTGACGTTGTGGTGCCCGCGCGCAGCCTGGCGTTGGCCGCAGCGACGTCGTAGTTTGCGCCCTCAAGGCAAGGGGGGGCGGCCAGGGTTCTGGGTCGGGTCGGTGGTCGCTATGGTGGCCACGTGGGGGTAGGTTCTATTAGGAGCAGCGAAAGTCCAGGCCTCTGACATAGTGGTTCTTCCACAGCGTGGACTTTTTGGGGTCTCGGCATCTTCCAGGGGTTGGGTTGTCCCCCTGAATGCATCGTTCCCTAATCGCGTTTCGCTGGAGGGTTCTTCTGGTGGTGAAGGATAAGCAGAGTCCCGCAAGGGGAGACGGGCAACCCTGGACCGCCCGGTGCGGCAGCCAGTCCGGCAGGCGGTTCGCTTAGGACTTCTTCATAGCTTTTCTTCCTTGTGCTCTCGCCTCAATGTTGGCTGCATTTTTGGTCCGGACGGCCACGATTCCTGGTGAATCGGAGGTGGATCGACCTCCTGCCCTGACACGTCGATTAGCGAATTGGCCGCTTTCGGTTCGCGAGGGAGCGTCGCGGTCGTCGTTTTGCGGGTCCAGGTCCGTCGGTTTCGGTCCTAGGCCGTTTTCGTTTAAAGGGTGGTTCTCTAAAGGGAGGCTTGTCCACCGCCGAGTGAAAGATATCTTGAGGTGCGCATGAGAGTTCCACAGGGGGGACGACCGCCTGGTGCGGCAGCTGGTCCGGCCGCCGTTTCGCTTGAGGCTCCTTCGCAAGTCGTGCATGAATTGTGCTCTCGCCCTAGTGCTTGCCACATGTTTGGGCCCAGACGACCACGATCCCTGGTAAAACAGTAGACAGAAGGTGCACTTACTACCTGCCAGACCACCCCAACCCAACCCGAAGCCACGAATTTCGCCCGAATTTCGGGTTGGGGGGGTACGGGCTTCCTATGTTTTTCCAATGTTTCCCGACCCCCCCCCACCAGAAATAGATGGCAAATCGGGGCCTTCGGGCTGAGTTGGGGTGGTTTGGTGGGCGGTGAGTGCACATGGGTGTCCCGCAGGGGGGACGGGGCGCCTTAGACCGCCAGGTGCGGCAGCCAGTACGACAGCCGTTTCGCCTGAGGTTTTTCCACAATGCATTCAGGAAAGGTTCTCTCGCCTCGGCTACATTTTCTCCAACAGCATTTCGTTAGAGGGTTTTCACTTCTCGTAAGACAGGACCCTAGAAAGTCCCAGAGGGGGGACCGGGAGCCCTAGACTCTAGGACTGCCCAGTGCGGTAGCCAGTCCAGCTGCCGTTTCGCTTGAGACTTCTTTGCGATTTGTTCAGGGATCGTGCTCACGCCTCAATGCCGGCTACGTTGTTGGTATGGACGGCCACGACCCTTCCTTGGTAAAAGCATATCCGTAAGGGCTTCGCCCCCTGCCGCCGGCCCCCCCTCTCTCGGATAATGGGCAATGCAAGAGCGAAATCATGGGGCCTTGGCGCCGCCGTGAAGCAGCGTCGGGACTTCACGCGAAGACGATGGGTAATCGGCAAGACAAATTGAGATTCTGATGATATTGTTGAATTCGGTGTTGTATTTCTAAGGTTTATGGCTTCGGATACGCGAATCGAGCGTAATTTATTAGGGTTTATGGCTTCGGGGTCGCAAGTACAATGTAATTTTCGCAGGTGTATGGCTTCGGAGAGGCGAATATTGTATAATTTACAAGGGTTTATGGCTTCGGACATGCTTTTACCGTGTAATTTACGAAGGCTCATGGCTTCGGGGTCGCAAGTATTGCATCATTTACACAGGTTTATAGTTTCGGAGATGCGAATCTGGTGTAATTTTCAAGGGTTTATGGCCTCGGGGACGCACATATGTGTGATTTACGAACGTTTGTGGCCTCGGGGTCGCAGATACTATATAATTTGCTATGGTTTATGGTTTGTATGTTGCTAGGGTTCATGGTTTCGGGGACGCGAATATCGTGTAATTCACGAGGGTTTATGGCCTCGGGGACGCGAATCTTGTTTAATTTGCGAGGGTTTATGGCCTCGGGGGCGCGATTTTTTTTGGAGTATTTTTAAGTGTCCCACGCCCCCCCCAGGAATTCGGACAACGCGATTCGGGCGTGGTAACTAGGTTCCTTCTCGGCTCCCTCTCACTCGCGCGGTCCATCAACAAGGAACAGTAAGCAGCAAGAAGCAGAATCGTAACAGTGGAAATTGGAAATTGGAACTGGTGCAGGGAACAGCAAACCTTGGTCCTACAGCCTGGTGGCCCCACAAGGGGGCCGGCGGATTAAGGTGCATATGGCCGTGCACTCAGCCCTGTCCTGGCTCCGGTTTGCTTGAGACTTCTTCACAATTGATTCAGAATTCGCGATTCGTGCTCTTGCCGCAATGCCGGCTACAGTTTTGGTCTGGATCTTGCTTCAATGCCGGTTGGGTCTGGACGGTAAAAAAAAGGAAAACATCAAAAAACTTACACACTCGCACTATATGCATATGGCCGAGCTCTCACCCTGGTCCCGGCTCCAGTTCGCCGGAGACTGCTTCGCAAAGAAAATTAATTAATCGCTTCGCTCATTCTGCCGGCCCGTATTGTGCCATCGCTGGCGTTTCGCTGCGCGTTCGTGGCTCATGTGGCGCAGCGGGGCGGTGGTCGATTTCAGGAGGTGGTGCGACAGCAGGCGTGGAGGTGAAGCAGTTGCTTTAGAGCTTGTCGTGTTGGTTCTGGCCCTTCATGTCCACCGTCGTCGCCAGTGTTGTGTTGCCGTGAGACGGCTGTTCTTCCGTGGAGGTGGTGCGTGTGCGTCGACGGGCGTTGCGCAGGTTGTCGAGGGGCTTGTTTCGGGGCTTGTTTGGGGTTCCTGTTGGGTCTCCTCGGATGCCGCTGGGGTTTCTGTCGGGGTATCGCTGTGGTTGTTCTGGTCGGCTTGGCGCTTCGGATGCTTCTGCGGGAGTCTCCTGGGAGACTTGTGCTGTATCTAGTGCGCCGGGCGATAATGTGGCATTGCTGCCGCGTGCCTGCGCGCTCGATGCCTTTGCGTAGCAGCATCGGTGATGCATCCTGTGTTTCCCTCTCCTCCTCCTCCTCGTCCTCCTCCTTCTTTTCCTCCTTCTCCTCCTACTCCCTTTTCCCCTCCTCCTGTTCTCCTCCTCCTCCTCTTCCTCTTTTTCCTCCTCCTTCTCCTGCTCCTTGTTTCCGTCGACTGTTCAGTGATTTTTTTTTCGTCGATTGCCGATCTTCGAAGTTGTCCCCTCGCTTCGCGCTCCAGGGCCACTGCAGAGGACGACGACGACGACGAACGACCAACGACGAACGACGAACGACGAACGTTGTCGACGACGACGACGACGACGACGACGACGACGACGACGACGACGACGATGCAACGGCGGCGGCGGCGGCGGTGGCGGCGGCGACGGCGCCTGCGGAGAAGCCGTGCCCGGCGTCGCGGGCGCCAGAGCTGCGCTGCGGCGCTGACGCGCGCGCACGCGGCGCCGACGTCTGCGTGCGAGGGGTTCTCCCGAGGGACACATTACCCTCGGCAGTTCCGTGGGAATAAACACGCGCCCCCAGCAGCTTGAGTGGAACAGTTTTCCTTGGGAACATTTATGAGGCCTGTTCGCGACATTTGTGAACACTCCTGGAGCGTTGCTTTTTATGCAGGTTCTCAACGCTTGTTGCAAGTCTGTGCGGGGCCGTTCGCGGCATGTTTGAACGCTTCTGGAGCGTCTTGGAACCTTTCTCGCTCGACGTGTGTTGCAAGAGCGGCTGGAAGAGGAGAAGCAGGTGATGAGAGGACGAGGGTAAGGCTGAAAGAGGGGAAGAAGGGAAAGAGAGGACGAGGGTAAGGAAGAGGAGGAGGAGAACTGGGGGCGTTGCCTGGCTTCCTGGAGCATTGAGGAGGGCAGACGACGTCGCTAACAGACGTTTCTTCTGAAGCGTTTCGACGTCTTTGGGGGAGGATTTGTGTTGCCTCGTCGTGTCATTTTGGAAGCCTCCTGGAGCGGAGATTCTTCGGCAAATGTCTCGACGTCTGGTCAAAGTCTCGTGGAGGCAGTTCGGAAGCCTCTTCATGCCTCTTGGGGGCCGTCTGTGCGTCCTGGGGGCCTCTTTTTGGCTCTCTTGGGGGCTTCTTGGGGCCTCTTTTTTTTTCTGGGCTTGCTGGCGGTCTCGGAGGTGGCCTTTGGGGCGGAAATATTGGAATGTCGTTTCGGGTTCCCCCTCTTGGGCCTCTCTTGAGGCTGTCTTGGGCCGTCTTGGGCGCCTCTTGGGCCGTCTTGGTTCCCTCTTTGGCCGTCTTGGGGGTCCTCTTGGACTCTCTTGGGCTCATCTTGGGGCCGTGTTGGGCCGTCTGGGGACGATGTTGGAGGCTTCTGGGGTAGTTCTAGACGTTGTGAACCCCCAGACGTCGTAGATGCGAGAAATGTACGTTTTCAGCAGGTTGGGGCTCGTTGGGGAGCCTCTTGAGGCTTTCTGGAGGCTTTTTCGCGGCCTCTGGGGTCATCTGGAGACCATCTTGAGCGTCTTGGAGCGATACTTAGGCGATTCGGGGCCTCTTGGGCCGTGTAGGGGGCGTCCCGGCGCCCTCTTGGCGCGCTCCTGGAGCGCTCTGGGGGAGTCAGCCAGGCATCGCCCAGGCATCGGCCAGGTCTCACCCAGGCATCGGCTGGGGTACTCTTCGTCGGGGGGTCCCCGGGGGCCGCCACGCGCGCGCGAACTAGAAATACTTTTAACCTGTTACCGGAGATCTCAGCTTCGCCGGAGACTCCCTTGCAACTTACCCAGGAAAGGCCAGCTACATTTTAGGCCAGACGGCCACGACCCGTTTGCAAAAGCACACTTAAGGAGAGTACGGCCATGCTCTCCGTGTTCTTCCTGCTCGTCGTGTTGCCAGAACTCTGTTCCCGCGTGGGAGTCTTGCACAATAGGTCACGTCCCACCGCAATTCTCGCTCTTCGTGCTGCCAAATCTCCACTCCCGTGTACGATTCTGAAACCACATGGTATACCTTACCACACTTCCAGCTCGTCGTGTTTACAGAGTTCCAGTCCTGCGCACGTTTCTGAAACAAATATGAACACCCTGCTTCAGAAGGGTCGTTTCTGGGGTTTCCCCAGGACTACATAGGAATCAACATTTTCTTTAGCCGACAACTACTCCTCGACCCGCCTCTTCACCCTTTCTGCTATTAGGCAAGGTAGTGGGATGTTTGTTCTCAACCATCCTGCGTTAGGCCCCCTTTTTGAAGAAACAGCGCCCAGCGTTCCTCCTTCCTCTTCCCCCTCCCCCTTCTCCGTCCCCTCACCCCTGCCTCTGCCCTCCGCATGTCAGCCATGTCGGAGCACCCCTCACGCGCTGTGTGGCCCCATAGGGTGCTCCACCGGAAGCCCCAGAGGGAGCGTTCTCATGTGGGCGTCGCGCCCGTCTTGGCACACCCATCACTCGTTTCGTGGCCCCACAGGAAGCGTCACCGAAGGCCACAGAGGGAGCGTTCGCATGTGGGCGTGACGACCTTGTCGGCACACCCCTCACGCGCGTCGTGGCCCCATGGGGAGCTCCACCGAAGGCCCCAGAGGGAGCGTTCGCATGTGGGCGTCACGCCCGTTTCTGGACACCCCTCACGCGTGTCGTGGCCCCATAGGCCCCATAGGGAGCTCCACCGAAGGCCCCAGAGGAAACGTCCGCATGTGCGCCCCGCCACCTCATTTTGGCATGCCTGTCGCGCGTTTCGTGGCCCCTATGGGGAAATCCACCGAAGACCATACAGCTGCGGTACTCCCATCTTCATGGTCCTTCGCCAAGATTTTTTTCGGTCCATGGATCCCGTAGGGGCAGGCTGAAGCTTACTATGCAGAAGCTGCCCGCATTTGTTTCACTACGCGAGGAGGTCTGGGACTGCGACTGGGAAGGGAAGGGAGGGATGGAGGGAGGGAGGGAGTTGAAAACGTAGGGGAGGATGGGGGAGGCTGGATGCAGGTCACGGTAGGTCCGCGTCGTGTCGACACGGCGGTCACGGCGGCGACCCCTGCGCGAGCGCTCGAGGTATATCGCCGACGGTGGTCCCGCATCGGCCGGTATCGAGCGACTCGCGCTACGGGGAAGCTGCCATCGCCACGCCCGGCGGCGAGCCCAGGGGGGAAGCGAGAGAGGGCCGGCGTTCTCAGAAGGCGGCGGGGCTCCTCGGAAGCCCCCGCGCCTTCGGAGAAGTTTTTCGTGTCTTCGGGGCAGGCTGAGAAGCACTGCTCAGAGGGCCCGGGGCCTTCCGAGCCCTCTGAGAAGGCCCGCCCCCTCTGCACTCTCCACTGGGCTCGCCGCCGACACGCGGGGTCAAGAACCGGCGCCGACGGCCGTCATGGCACGGACCTGCCGCAGCGCGGGGAGGGAAGGGGAGGGGGGGGGGCACGGAGGGCCCGCGCTCCCCCTCCACAGGCGGCGGGCGCGGTCGCTGAGGAGCAGGAGCCACTGGAGAGCGCCGGGGTGGTGGAGTTCTCGGAGGAGGCCCGGCGCCTCCTCCTCGTCCACGGCGCCTCGCCTCCCCCTTTCTTCCTCGCCTCCCCTGCTCCTCCTCCTCCTCCTCCTCCTCCTCCTCCTCCTCCTCCTCCTCTTCCTCCTCCTCCTCCTCCTCCTCCTCCTCCTCCTCCTCCTCCTCCTCCCCCTCCTCCTCTTCCTCCTCCTCCTCCTCCTGTCTCCTGCCTGCTCGCTCGTCCCGCTTCCCCCCCTCGCCTCCGTGTGCCCTCGCCGCGCTGCTGCTCCTCCGATGGCCTCCCTCCGCGTCCCTCCGGTCCTGCTTTTCCTCCCCCTGCTGCCTCCTCGGCTTCGTCCTCCTACCTCCTCCCCGCGTCCTCCACCTCCTCCTCCTCGTCCCCCTTCTCTGTGGCTGGGGTGTTCGGGCCTCTCTCTATCGGCCGGGCATCCCGTTGGGATCAAAGTCTGGGGGGAGGCGCTGCTCATCGGCGCCACCGTGACCCTCGTGGGCGAGCTGTGCTGCGGGGTGGGACTGCTCGGGGCACGCCGCGCTGTGCTCGGAGGGAGGATCGAGGATCGAGGCTCGAGGAGGATCTCGGATAGTTTGTTTTGTTTCGTGGGTCCGTCTGCACTGGCTGTGTCGCGAATGTGCGCCTGCTCCTAGGCACTTCCGATACGGAAGGCGTATCAAATACGAGATCGGCTGCCAGCAGGCGCCCCACGAGGAAATTTGCCGCCCACGGCGCCCTGGGGCCCACGGAAGCTCCAGGGCACCTTAGGACCCTCAAACATCGGTGGATAAGGAACCGACATATTTCTGATGGCCCGATTTCTTTTCGTCTTTGTCTACTGAAGCTTATGTTATTTTTCCAATTTTTCTGGGGCCTTGGGGCCTCCAGACGCCTCCAGGCATCCTTGCGGACCTCAGGAGACTTCGGGTGCCTTTAGAGACTTCCGGAGGAGATTCACCACCACCACCACCGCTTTGTGGTGGGGGGCGGAGTCAGGATCAGGGGCGGGGGCGGTGAGGTGTCCATGGCCCAGGGTGTCCCCAGCTTTTTCGCTTGATTTTGGAGCCCCTGGGGCCCCCTGGGCCTCGTGAGGGGTGCTTGGGAGTCCGCGGAGGCCCCTGTGGAGATCCTGGGGACACCTTGGACACCTCGGGCAACACCAGGACCTTGGCTGCCTCTGGGGATCCCCGACAGCGGCGATCGCTCAAAGCTAGAGCGGTCCACGCGGTTGCAGACCTCGTAGCCCAAGCCGTTCCAGCAGGAATTTGCCGTAGGATGTCTTGGAAGGTTTTTTCCATCCTGGACCGGGATGCGCGCGTCTGGTGCACCAGTCAGTGCGCACTTGTTGCAGCTTCCGTATCTCGCTTCGAACATTTCGGCAGCGAACCGTCTCTCGCTTCGAAAACTTCGACAGCAAAAGCTGGTGATCGCCCTGGGCAGAGTCTTTCTGGACCTCCTGTATGGTCGCGGAGATGGTCGAGATGAGTCGTGGCCCCATAGGGAGGCGCAGTCCGCATGCGGAAGGTCCCAGTGGCGCAGTTCTCGTGCGGTTCCCCCACCCAGTGCAGCGTTTCATGGCCACAGAAGGAGTTCCACCGAAGGTTCCAGAGGCGGAACTCGCATGCGGTTCCTGCGCCCAGTGCAGCGTTTCGTGGCCCCACAGGGAGCTCCATTAAAGGCCCCAGTGGCGGAACCCGCATGCGGTTCCTGCGCCCAGTGCAGCGTTTCTTGGTCCCACAGGGAGTTCAATCGAAGGTTCCAGTGGCGCAGTTCTCATGCGGTCCCCCCTCATGCGGTTCCCCCGTCCAGTACAGCGTTTCGTGGCTCCAGAGGGAGCTCCACCGAAAGTCTCAGTGGCGGAACTCGCATGCGGTTCCCCCGCCCAGTACATCGTTTCGTGGCCCCAGGGGGAGCTCCACGGACGACGATACTCACAACTTCGGCACTCACAACTGCATATGGTTGGGTTCTTCACCAGGCTAATTTAACGTGGTGCTTTCCATTATTATTGCTGCTGCTGCTACTGCTGCCAATTGGGCCCAAGGTTGATCGGGTGCTCTCCGCGGGCGCGCCATCGTATGACTCACGGGGATATCCGCGTGGAGTAATTGCGTGCGTTCATTTTTTATGCTCACAGTTGTTTTGAAGGCTCACTGTACGTGCACAGTTGGTTTGATGCTAATATCCTAGGTCCAGCACGCCGGAGCCGAACGAGTCGAGCAATTGGCTGCGCAACGATCTGCCAGTCATGATGCAAGTAGTTCTTGATGGGATTCGATGAGTGTCACGGCTCGTACACGTAGCATGTTGTTCTGATGTTCATAGAAGCGCGGGTTCGCAGTAATGAGTCTTTGCTTATTTTGGACAAGACACGTGTGGGTCGCAGGTTGCACGTTCCCATCCCGAATGTGCCGGCAGAGTCCTTCTGGTGGTTCTTGCCGTCTCATCGTTGCTCGTTGTTGCTGTCCTTGTCGTTCTGGATCGTGTGCCTGCCCGCCTTCTCCGCCTTCTCTTGCATCAACTCGGCGAACCCAGATCTTCGACTCCTTCGCCTTCTTCGCCTTCTTTGGATTCTCGGCCTTCTCCGAGTTCTCTGCTTTCTCCGCCTCCGTCGCCTCAAGCTTTTCCGACTTCTCAGGGTTCTCGGGTTTCTCTGGTATTTTTGGCCTTTCCGGCTTCTCTAGGCTCTCCGGCTTCTCCACCATCTCCGCCTTTTCTGGCTTCACCGCCTTCTTTGCCATTGCCTGGCCCAAGCCATTCGGGCCCAAGGATCGCCAGGTGAGCGCTTCGTGTTCCCGTATCGGTACTGCACTCCACTCAACGATGGTAAACATATTGATTTTTGTGACGGCATTTGCGCTCGCCTCCGTTGTAGGCGCCGAAATGCAGCTCATGCAGATGTCTGCGCTCGGGCTGACCAGTTCAGAGGTAGCAAGGCGGTTGATGAAAGATTTCACGGCATGTAGTATTCCTGCGACGCCTGATTGGTTCTCTTTTTCGTCTGGCTGCAATGGTGCAGCAAATTTCGGCTCATTGCGCACAGGTAGTTGCACGTCCACCGTATGGAAAGCGACCCTTCCTGCATGCGCCGATGGCTCTATGGGAGCCTTCATGGTCAGCTCATGGCCCGATTAATCAGGTTCTAGACACAGAGCCGACAAAATAGACATCTTGGTGGATAGCAGCATCGTCGCGACAGTTTTCAATAATGTACCGGAACAGGTATCAGTGCTTTGGAATCCATGAAATGTGGAATTACGCGTCGAGTCCACCAGCTACAAGACACGCCAGATCGTGTTCGAGGCAGCAACACCGACACCTTCTCTGCCTTCTTCCAGCTTCTTCGGCTTCCCTTGCTTCTCTGGATTCTCTGCCTTCTCCGCTATTTCCGCCTTCTCCGCCTGCTCCGCTCTTTCCTCCTTCCTCCGCCTTCTCCACCTTCTCCGCCTTGTCGGGCTTTTCCAGCTTCGCGGGACTTATCGGGCGTCTGGGGAATCCCCGGCTCTCAGGCTTCTCAGGCTTTTGCGGCTTTTCGAGTCGGGCGGGCTGGCCGGGTCGGGCGGGCGGGCCCTGACGGGCGGATTTGGTCAAGTGTCAGTCGGGCGGGCCTTGACGAGCTGGTCGGGCCGGTTCCGGGCGGGCGGGTCATCAAAGTATGAAGCATCCTCGAGTTGACCCTTGCGGGTGAATCGAGCGGGTTGGGCGGGACATTCAAGTATGATGCATCACGAAGTTGCCACGCGTGCAGGGCGGGTCGGGGCGGGTGTGTGGGCATGACCTCACGGGCAGGTCGGGTTGGGCGGGCGAGTCATGAAAGTATGATACATCATCGAGTTGGCACGCGTGCAGGGCGGGTGGGCCGGGTCGGGCGGGTCGGGTCGGGTCGGGTCGGGGTCGGGTAACGGACGGGCGAGCCCTGACGGGCGGGGCGGGTCAGGCGGCTGGGTCATTTCAAGTACGATGCGCCATCGCGGGTCGGCTCGCGCGCAGGGCGGGCGTGTCGTGTCCGGCTTTGCAGGTGGGTCAGCCGCTGCTCGACGGTCAGCGCGCACGGCGCCACTCCTGAACAGCTCCAGGTGCAGCCGCTGCTCGACGGACAGAGGGAATCTGCCCACTTCGTCCACCCAGGATCGGAGGAGGCTCCTAGGCATACACCCTCGACTCCTTCAGAGTCGCGGCCGGACTCCCCTGGTCCCTGGACTCCAGGGGGGGCCCAGGACCCCTGGGCCCTAGACTGAGCAAGGTGCAGGAGGTACCCGAGCTTTGGAGTACCGCCGACAAGAGAAGGACCAGGAGCTTCAGGTGTGAGTCCCCCTAGGGACTCCTGGGCTCCAGACTCCAAGGGGGGGGGGGCCCAGGACTCCTTGGCCCCAGACTCCCGGGGGGCGGCCCAGGTCTCCGGGGCCCTAGACCTTAGACGCCAGGGATGGCCCCCTTGGCTTCGTGGCGCCCCGCCTCGGCCCTCTCGCAGCCCGCAGCCTCGCTGCCGCCGCTGCTTCACGCGCCCACCAGATCCATCGAGACGGCCTCCCTGCGAGGATCGGTGGCCCGCCTGCCTTGGTGCGCTGCCTCGCTCGGGCACCTCCGCCTACACCCCGCTGCGTGTGGCTCGCCTGCGCCGACAATCTGCCCCTTCGGTCCGCTCCACCCGTCGCCCGCCCCCGCTGTGCGGCCTCCGCCCCCGGCCCGCTTGCCGCCGCCACCGGATCAGCAGCGACGGCCTCACCGTGAGGATCGATGGTGCGCCTGGCGTCTCGGAGCGCAGGGCTCTGGCTCCTCCTCCTGGCCGCCCTGGCCTTCGTGGGCCCCGCCGACGCGCCCCGCCACTCGGGCCACCTGGACACCGCCGCCCCTCCGCAGGATCCACAGACGGCGCCTTTTTGTCGCATCTCGGGCCAGTGCGGCCCGTCACAGTGCAGCAGTGTCTCACGCCGCCCACGGATCAATAGCGACGGTCTCACTGACCGAGAGGATCGCTGGCGTGCCCTAATTAGCCACCCCGCGCCTCCGAGCGCGGGCCCGTCCTGCTGCGTCTCTGAGGCGCACGCGACGCCCCACAGCACGCACCGATCTTTTCTTGTCGCAGTGTCCGACGCCACTCAGCTCTGGTCTCACCTCGGAAGTATTCCTCCAGCTGCTGCTGCTGCTGCTGCTGCTGCTGCTGCTGCTGCTGCTGCTGCTGCTGCTGCTTCTCGACGCCCTGGCAGAACCGCCGACGCACGAGCCCCTTTGGTTTGGCATTGCTCGGACGTGTGCATGTTTCCCCGCCGTGGACCACCGAGGAGCATCCTGGCTCATCTTGCGAAGAACAAATGCATTGGGAGTGGATGTCCGAGAGATGGCAGGTTGGACGCGCCTCTGATGGGCTGGTCGCCGGCGCTGCTGGCCCCGTCGCTGCCCGCCTCAGCCGCCACCCCGCAGGGGCTCGGCGTGCCAGCGCGCCTGTTCGATGCTGCCGCCCGCTACTCCTCGCACGTGCTCGCTGCCCGCCGCCCGCCGCTTCGCGATGGGCCGGCGATTTCACCTGGCATCTGCCGGCTTTCCAGGGCCGATCTTTGGAGGGCATGGCTGCGTGCGACCTGAAAGTGTAATTGTGTGTCGCTGTGTGTAAGTGTAATTGCCGCCTCGGCGGCCCCGCGGTCCTGGGCGCAGCGCGGCCCCGGCCCGGCCCTGGGTTCCGCGGACAACGGCAGCGCCCTGGCGCTGCGCGGCTTCGGCCCGGTCCCGTGCGCTCGCCACTGCAGGGCAGGACTCGTTCCACCTCCTGCAGCACACTGGCACTCTGTCGGTCGTTGTAGGCGGCATGATCCTGGCGTGTCCTTGCTGCCGCGCCTCAGACTGCGGCTCCCGTACCCTGGACCCGTGGCACCCTGACCGACCACGGCCTGGGCCACCCGCTCCCGCTTCCTGTTCGATGGCTCAACGTTGCACTTCGGCTCAGCGATGCTCCCCACCCTCCCTGGTCGACGCCGCTTGGGTACAAGGCGCGTCTTCTCTCGCCGCCAACTCGAGGTTGGTGTGCACGATGAACCGTTGACGGCACCACCAACCACAGCTTTTTGCTTCTACCGGTGCTTCGCCACCGGGTTCCTGTACAAGGCGTTTCTTTGCAAGCACGTCGTCTTCGGCACCGCCCGATCCCGAGGTTGCCTCCTCCTGGCCTTGCCGTGAGGCCGCTCTCCTTCTGTCCCCCCTCTTTGTTCATTCAAGCTTCGCGCGGCCCGCTTAGCTTCGACCGGAAGAGGTGCGCTCTCGACCCGCGAATCAAAAGTGTGTGTGTGTGTGTGAGTGTGGGTGAGTGTGTGTGTGTGTGTGTGGGTGAGTGTGTGTGTGTGTGTGTGTGTGTGTGCGTGCGTGTGCTCCAGCCTTTGTCGCCGACTCAAGGGTGCTCTGAGGTCGGTTTGTGAATCTGCCGCGCAACCGCACAATCGCTCCGATTTGGTTTGCGCGTGTCACGCCTTGCTTCGCATACCGACGACTGAAGCCACTGTCACTGGCACGTCGGACGAGAAGTGTGTGTGTGTGTGCGTGTATGCACAAAGGGATCGAGGAAGATGATGATGAGGATGATGATGAGGAGGAGGAGGGGGAGGAGGAGGGGGAGGAGGAGGAGGAGGAGGAGGAGGAGGAGGAGGAGGAGGAGGAGGAGGAGGAGGAGGAGGAGGAGGAAAAGGAGGAGGAGGAGGAAAAGGATTGAGGACTGAGGATCGAGGATCGAGAATCGAGGAGGAACATCTAGCAGGAGGATCGAATATCGATCACCGAGGAGGAGGATCGAGGATCGAGGGCCGAGGCTCGAGGACGACCACGGCGCGCGACCACGCCCGTCCGCGTGCGTGCGCGAGCCCCCGAAAAGGCCTCCGACGGCCGGCGACCTCCGCCGACGTGGCCGTGCCGTGCCGACGGGGCCGAGGCGACGGCCGCCGACGGCGAAGGCCGCGGAGGGCCGCGGAGGGCCGCCCGCCGAGGGCCGCCCGCCGACCGGCGGGCGCCCCGCGGAGGGGGGGAGGCCAGCGGCGCGCTGTCCCTGCGGCCCTGGCTGGGCCACTCGCCGCTCGGCGCGGGCGGCGCGCCAGGCCGCGGCGGGGCGTGGGCGCGGGTTCGGGGGCCCAGAGGCGGGCGCCAGCACCAGCATTTCTGGGCCTCCAAGATGGGGTCCCAGCGGGTAGCGCCAGAGGATCGCGCCGCATCACGGGTGCATCGGCGATGCGGCTCGATGTGGAGCCCGACTTTCTCAACGCCGTCGGCGCCGATGCATCGCCGTCGTCGCCGATGCATCGCCGATGCGGCGCGATCCTCCGACCCCATTTACTCGGACCCCATCTAGGAGGCCTCTGATATCGCTGGCGTGCTTCCACCAGGGGAAGATGCGCCCGATCGCGGTGATGGTGGTAATATCTGGGTTTCGTAGTGTTCAGTGGCCGAAATAGTATTGCCAGCACCAGAGTCTAGGATCTTCTTCCCCCAGTGGAGGCAGCCCCCTGTCTTGGTGTTGGTGCCCAGATGCGGGCCTCCAAGGAAGCGGGGGCAGGCCGGCGAGGATCGGCCTGCAGGTGGGAGGGTCAGAGGAGGCGAGTTTTAAATCGGGCCCGTCCTTCTACAGGAACGAGATTCAAAAATAGTCAAAAAATATTCACTGCGTGGGGATCCCCATGTGTGCATCTCCTTGCTGGCGCTCCCTTGGTGGTGGGACTCGGTGAGGACGAATCTGGATTTAAGTGTGACTGAGCTGCCTCTCTCTCTGCTCTCTCTGCTCTCTCTGTCTCTCTCTCTCTGCCCTCTCTCTGTCTCTGCCTCTCTTTCCCTGCCTCTCTCTCTCTCTCTGCCTCTCTCTCTGCCTCTGTCTCTCTGCCTCTCTCTCTCTCTGCCTCTCTCTCTGTGCCTCTCTCTCTCTGCCTCTATCTCTGCCTCTCTCTCTCTCTCTCTCCTCTCTCTCTTCTCTCTATTCTCTCTCTGCTCTCTCCTCTCTCTCTCACTCTCCCTCTCTCTCTCTCTCGCTCTCTCTCTTCTCTTCTCTTCTCTTCTCTTCTCTTCTCTCTCTCTCTCTCTCTCTCTCTTCTCTCTATCTCTCTCTCTCTCTCTCTCTCTCTCTCTCTCTCTCTCTCTCTCTTTCGCTCTCTCGCTCTCTCTTGCTCTCTCTCGCTCTCTGTCGCTCTCTCTCGCTCTCTCTCTCTCTCTCTCGCTCTCACTCGCTCTCTCTCGCTCTCTCTCGCTCTCTCTCGCTCTCTCTCTCCTCGCTCTCTCTCTCTCTCTCGCTCTCTCCCGCTCTCTCTCTCCTCTCTCCTCTCTCTCTCTCTCTCTCTCTCCTCTCTCTCTCTCTCTCTCTCTCTCTCTCTCTCTCTACTCTCTATCTCTCTCTCTCTCTCTCTCTCTCTTCTCTCTCTCTCTCTCTTCTCTCTTCTCTCTCTCTCTCTTCTCTCTTCTCTCTTTCTCTCGCCTGTCTCCTCTCTCAACTCCCCCTCTCTCTCTCTCCGCTCTCTCTCTCTCTCTCTCTCCTCTCCCTCTCTCTCGCTTCCTCTCTCTCTCTCTCTCCCCTCTCTCTCTCTCTCTGGCGACTAGGAGGCCCGGGTCGACTCCTCTTTGGGAAGCCAAAATGCTGCCCCTGGCAGCGTTTGGTGACTATGAAGCCCCTGGTGGACCCCCCCTGGGGCTCCCAAATGATGCCCCTGGCAGCGTTTTGTGACCATGAGGCTCTCAAGAGATACATGTTGGGGACGCCAAACGGCAATTCTAGCTGAGGCGTCCCACCAAAATCGGCGCGAACGGGCTCGTGAGATCAGCCAGGGTGGCTCCCCTTGGGGCTCCCAAATGATGCCCCTGGCAGCGTTTTGTGACCATGAGGCTCTCAAGAGATACATGTTGGGGGCGCCAAACGGCAATTCTAGCTGAGACGTCCCACCAAAATCGGCGCGAACGGGCTCGTGAGATCAGCCAGGGTGGCTCCCCCTTGGGGCTCCCAAATGATGCCCCTGGCAGCGTTTTGTGACCATGAGGCTCTCAAGAGAGACATGTTGGGGAGGCCAAACGGCAATTTTAGCTGAGACGTCCCACCAAAATCGGCGCGAACGGGCTCGTGAGATCAGCCAGGGTGGCTCCCCCTTGGGGCTCCCAAATGATGCCCCTGGCAGCGTTTTGTGACCATGAGGCTCTCAAGAGAGACATGTTGGGGAGGCCAAGCGGCAATTTTAGCTGAGACGTCCCACCAAAATCGGCGCGAACGGGCTCGTGAGATCAGCCAGGGTGGCTCCCCCTTGGGGCTCCCAAATGATGCCCCTGGCAGCGTTTTGCGACCATGAGGCTCTCAAGAGATACATGTTGGGGAGGCCAAACGGCAATTTTAGCTGAGACGTCCCACCAACATCGGCGCGAACGGGCTCGTGATATCAGCCAGGGTGGCTCCCCCTTGGGGCTCCCAAATGATGCCCCTGGCAGCGTTTTGTGATCATGAGGCTCTCAAGAGAGACATGTTGGGGAGGCCAAGCGGCAATTTTAGCTGAGACGTCCCACCAACATCGGCGCGAACGGGCTCGTGAGATCAGCCAGGGTGGCTCCCCCTTGGGGCTCCCAAATGTTGCCCCTGGCAGCGTTTTGTGACCATGAGGCTCTCAAGAGAGACATGCTGGGGAGGCCAAGCGGCAATTTTAGCTGAGACGTCCCACCAACATCGGCGCGAACGGGCTCGTGATATCAGCCAGGGTGGCTCCCCCTTGGGGCTCCCAAATGATGCCCCTGGTAGCGTTTTGTGATCATGAGAGAGTGTGAATGTGAGTGAATGTGACTGTGAGTGAGTCTGAGTGAGAGTGAGTCTCATCTTATCTTATCGAGTCCTATCTTATCGAGTCCTTGTCATATATCTTATCTTACCTTATCATATCTTGTGCTATCTTATCTTATCTTGTAGTATCTTATCTTGTCTTGTCTTATCTGGTGATTATCATTGGGAGGAGGGAGGCGCGAGCGGGAGGAAGAAGGAGGAGGAGGAGTGGGAGGCGCCAGAGTAATAATTATTCACTGCGTGGGGATCCCCATATGTGCATCTCCTTGCTGGCGCCCCCTTGGTGGTGGGACTCGGTGAGGACGAATCTGGATTTAAGTGTGACTGAGCTGCCTCTCTCTCTCTCTGCTCTCTCTGTCTCTCTCTCTCTCTCTCTCTCTGCCCTCTCTCTGTCTCTGCCTCTCTTTCCCTGCCTCTCTCCCTCTCTCTCTGCCTCTCTCTCTGCCTCTCTCTCTCTGCCTCTCTCTCTCTCTCTGCCTCTCTCTCTGTGCCTCTCTCTCTCTGCCTCTATCTCTGTCTCTCTCTCTCTCTCTCTCTCTCCTCTCTCTCTTCTATCTATTCTCTCTCTGCTCTCTCCTCTCTCTCTCACTCTCCCTCTCTCTCTCTCTCGCTCTCTCTCTTCTCTTCTCTTCTCTTCTCTACTGGCTTCTGACGGAGTCTGGGTTAGGTGAGCCTGAGTGTGGGTGAGTCTGAGTATGGGTACGTCTGTGTGTGCCTGACTCTGAAGAAATGAATCTGAGTGTGAGTGAGCTTGTGTATGAGTGAGTCTGGGTGCGAGTCTGAATCCCAATGGTGCCCCTGGCAGTGTCTGGCGACTAGGAGGCCCGGGTCGACTCCTCTTTGGGAAGCCAAAATGCTGCCCCTGGCAGCGTTTGGTGACTATGAAGCCCCTGGTGGACCCCCCCTGGGGCTCCCAAATGATGCCCCTGGCAGCGTTTTGTGACCATGAGGCTCTCAAGAGATACATGTTGGGGACGCCAAACGGCAATTCTAGCTGAGGCGTCCCACCAAAATCGGCGCGAACGGGCTCGTGAGATCAGCCAGGGTGGCTCCCCCTTGGGGCTCCCAAATGATGCCCCTGGCAGCGTTTTGTGACCATGAGGCTCTCAAGAGAGACATGTTGGGGAGGCCAAACGGCAATTTTAGCTGAGACGTCCCACCAAAATCGGCGCGAACGGGCTCGTGAGATCAGCCAGGGTGGCTCCCCCTTGGGGCTCCCAAATGATGCCCCTGGCAGCGTTTTGTGACCATGAGGCTCTCAAGAGATACATGTTGGGGGCGCCAAACGGCAATTCTAGCTGAGACGTCCCACCAAAATCGGCGCGAACGGGCTCGTGAGATCAGCCAGGGTGGCTCCCCCTTGGGGCTCCCAAATGATGCCCCTGGCAGCGTTTTGTGACCATGAGGCTCTCAAGAGAGACATGTTGGGGAGGCCAAACGGCAATTTTAGCTGAGACGTCCCACCAAAATCGGCGCGAACGGGCTCGTGAGATCAGCCAGGGTGGCTCCCCCTTGGGGCTCCCAAATGATGCCCCTGGCAGCGTTTTGTGACCATGAGGCTCTCAAGAGAGACATGTTGGGGAGGCCAAACGGCAATTCTAGCTGAGACGTCCCACCAAAATCGGCGCGAACGGGCTCGTGAGATCAGCCAGGGTGGCTCCCCCTTGGGGCTCCCAAATGATGCCCCTGGCAGCGTTTTGTGATCATGAGAGAGTGTGAGTGTGAGTGAATGTGACTGTGAGTGAGTCTGAGTGAGAGTGAGTCTCATCTTATCTTATCGAGTCCTATCTTATCTTACCTTTATTACCCTCTATCTTATCTTATCTTGAAATCTCTTATCTTGTCTTAGCTTATCTTATATCAACTCATCTTATCGCATCATATCTTGTCTTATCTTATTACTCCATAGGCTGTCTTATCTTATCTATTATCCTACCTTGTCATATATCTTATCTTACCTTATCATATCTTGTGCTATCTTATCTTATCTTGTAGTATCTTATCTTGTCTTGTCTTATCTGGTGATTATCATTGGGAGGGGGGGGGCGCGAGCGGGAGGAAGGAGGAGCAGTGGGAGGCGTCAGAGTAATAACAAGAACCCCAATCCTTAGGATATGGGGAACAAGAACCCCAATCCTTAGGATATGGGGAATAATGCGGGGACGATTTTTTGGGTATATTTTGCTCATATTTGAATATTTGATGACAGTGTTTAATTTTTGAGTAGTTGATGAGTATTTGATGAGTGGTTGGCCTTCGGGGGGCCCCTCGTCACCGCGGCTGGGCGCACCTCGGACAAAG